GAAAAACAATCTTTTAAAACAACTGATATCTTTTTTACTGATATCTTTTGTTTTTCTACCCTCTTCATTTCCTTTTTATTTTGTTGTGTTTTTTAATTTTACTTTTAATTTATGGAATAAAACAAGCATTTCCATGAAATAGTAAAATAAAAAGATGATTGTACATGAAACTGTACATCTACTATGCCAACTTGCTATTCCTTTCAAATATACAACAAAATTATCATGTAAATTTCTTTTTTTCTTCCCTCCCCCCACCCCTAGAGATGGTTACATTAGACACAAACAGGTGTGTTTGTTTTTGTGTACATGCACACATACATTTATATATGCACAATTATTTATATATACTTCTCTTTGTTAGTTCTTTCTCTGGATGCTGATAACAGTCTTTCTTTATTTGAGTATTTATAATAGACAGCATAACTTATTTGCTACCCTTCCCTTCCTCAGAGAGCCATCCCTATAACAAATTTTTTAAAAAATTGAAAAAATAAAAAGAAAGGGGAAAAAAAAGTAAGTAAAATTAGCCAACACATCAATCAAGTCTGCCATTATAGGCTATGTTGTCTCTATAGTCCCCAAACCTCTGCAAAGACTGGAAGGAGGTGCCATCTTAGAATTTCTTCGTTTGGACCAAACTTGATCATTATAATTGAACTCTATTTAGTTTTTGTATTTCTTATTGTTTTTGCCATTAATATAATTGTAACCATTGTGTATATTATTTTCCTACTTCTATTTCCATGGCTTTTTATCAATTCATAGAAATTTTCCCATATTGCCTTGTATTATTCATATCCATTATTTCTTACAGCACAGTAATATATTCTAATCTAGTAATGTATGACAGTCTGATTAGCCACGTCCCAATCAATGGATATCCACTTTGTTTCCAGTTCTTTGCTAATAAATAAGTACTGTTATAAATATTGTTTGATATATATATTAGACTCCTCTGTCTCTGACTTCCTTCAGATGTACATCTAGCAGTAAAATCTCTGGATCAAAGGGTACAGATATTTTAGTTACTTTCTTTGCGTAATTCCAAATTGCTTCCCAGAACAGACTAATTTCTCAGTTCCACCAACAGTGCATTAGTGTCTCTGCCTTTCCACAATCTCTTCAATATTAACTATTTCCATCTTGTGTCACTTTCGCCAATTTTCAGTGTATGAGGTGAGATCTATTTAACTTTATTAGTGATTTATTAGTGATTAGTGATATTTAACTTCATTATGGTTTTATTATTTATAATTCTTTTTTAAAACTTTTTTTTTTTACAAAACAGCTGAGGAAACTGAAAAGCAGTCTGGTGAGGACTAGATTTAGATAAACATTGTAAACTGAGAAGAATTCCAAATGTATACATGAGGTAGAAGGGTGGCATAATAAACAAATGAGGAAAAAATTACTTTTCAGGTCTGTTAATTTAGTCTGCCATAGTTGATGTTCTTTGATTTATTGATCACTGGGATTCTGATTCTCTCTAGTCAACTTTACAGATTTACTAAAAGTTTTTTTGACAATATCAGATAATTTTGGTGATTACTACTTTATAATACAATTTATTCCTACTTTTATTCATTGCTTCTCTTGAGATAAAAAAACCTTTTTTCCTCCAAATAAATTTTCGTATTTTATCTAACCTCTTGGTAGTTCGGTTGAAATAATGCTAAATCTGATCTGTAAATTAATTTAGATAATACCCTAATTTTATTATGATGGCGCAGCCCCACTAGGATCAAGTAATGGTCCACCAGTTATTTGCTATTTTCTTTATTTCTGTAAAGAATATTTTTATAAGGTTTTTTTAAAATTAATTTATTTTTAACTTTCAACATTCAGTTCCACAAGCTTTTGAGTTTTAAATTTTCTCCCCCTCCTTCTCCACCTCCCTCACCAAGATGGTGTGCAACCTGATATGAGCTCTACATATATATTCCTATTAAACATATTTTCACATTAGTCATGTTGTAAAGAAGAATTAGAACCAGTAGAAGGAGCCACAAGAAAGAAGAAAACAGAAGAGGGAAAAAAGAGCAAATAGTATGCTTCCATTTGCATTCCAACTCCAAAGTTCTTTCTGTGGATGTGGATAGTATTTTCCATCATGAGACTTTTGGAGATGTCTTAGATTCTTGCATTGCTAAGAAGGGCTAGGTCTATCAAAGCTATTCATCGCACAATGTTACTGTGGACAACATTGTCCTGGTTCTGCTCACTTCACTCAGCATCAGACCATATAAGTCTTTCCAAGTTTTTCTGAAGTCTGCTTGCTCATCATTTCTTATAGCACTATAGTATTCCATTACATTCATATACCACAACTTGTTCAGCCATTCCCCAATTGATGGGCATCCCCTCAATTTCCAATTCTTTGCCACCATAAAAAGAGCGGCTATGAATATTTTTATACATGTGGGTCCTTTTCCCATTTTTATGATCTCTTTGGGATATAGCCTTAGAAGTGCTGTTGCTGGGTCAAAGGGTAAGCACATTTTTATAGTCCTTTGGGCATAGTTCCAAATTGCTCTCCAAAATGGTTGGATCATTTCACAATTCTAACAACAATGCATTAATATTCTAATTTTGCCACATCTTCTCCAATATTTATCATTTTCCTGTTTTGTCATGTTAGCCAATCTGTTAGGTGTGATGTGGTTCTGCAGAGTTGTTTTGGTTTGTATTTCTCTAATCAATAGTGATTTAGAGCATTTTTTCATACGACTATAGGTAGTTTTAATTTCTTCACCTGAAAACTGCCTATTCATATCCTTTGACCATTTATCAATTGGAGAATGACTTCTATTCTTATAAATTTGACTCAGTTCTCTATATATTTTAGAAATGAATCCTTTATCAGAGACACTGGTAAAAATTCTTTCCCAGTTTTCTACTTCCCTCCTAATCTTGGTTGCATTGGCTTTGTTTGTACAAAACCTTTTTAATTTAGTGTAATCAAAATTATACATTTTGTATCTCATAATGTCCTTTATCTCTTGTTTGGTTATAAATTCTTCCCTTCTCTATTCCTTGCTCTCCCAGTTTGCTTATAGTATCAGCCTCCATATCTAAATCTTATACCCATTTTGACTTTATTGTGGTATATGTTGTAAGATTTTAGTGTAAAGAATATTTTGCAATTGTTACTTATATGTCCTGAATATATCCCAATAGGTTGATTCCCAGACATTTTAAGCAAATTTCAGTTGTTTCAATTGTTTGGGATGAGATTATTCTATATTTTCTTCCTAGTTTTTGTATTTCTATACAGAAATATTGATGAATTTGTGTAATTTATTGTGTATTTTGCTACTTTACTGAATCTATTAGTCATTTCAATAAGTATCTGCTGATTGTCTTGGGTTTCTAAGTAAATACATGTATGTTTTTATAAATATCTATCTATATACATATTGTCTATAAATAGGAGTAATCTTTGTCAATGTGTATACACATACATAGTTATTTAATTTTTTCTCATCTTACTGATATCAGTAGCGTTTCTGGAACTTTACAAAATAATGGAGAGAGTAGAAATCTTTGTTCTACTCCTGTATTTATTGTGAAAGCTAGAATTTCTCTGCTGCAAGTAATACTAGCTTTTGGTTCTGGATGTACACTTTTATCATATGTTAAAATGAATCCTTCTGTGTCTTTTTTAAAACATTTTACATGAATCCACCATTTTGACAAAGATTGTTGTTTTTTTAAAAAGATATAGATAGTAACACATGATTTCAGAGGACCTTAATGTTCCTCTCTCACAGCTGAAATGAAACTAACAAAAACATAAACAAAAAGGAAAACATAGAATTTAGACTTTGGGGAAAATATATTTGAAAGACCTGTGGCATGTTCTGAATGGGAACATTAAAGAACATACATATTTCTCACCACTATATGCTACTTGTATATGAATGGGCCACATACCACAGAACATATAATGGGAAAATTGAAACATAGAGCACATCAGCATGCTCAACAAAGTCATGATGGCATGTAATGGCAATGCCTTGGAGAGATATGAGCATGCATAGAACATTTTGTAATTGGTTCTAATCTGCTAACCACATATTTAAAGAATGCCTTTTCAATTGTCTTGTTATCTAGAAGATGGGGGGGGGGTAGATGGGAAGGCACTTTCCAAAAGCATTAGTAAACAGAGCCTCAGTCATATTCTATTTGGTCCATTCTTTTTGGCAGCTCTGCTCTTTGCTGACTCTTTTGCTGATGTTCTGACAAGTCTCTCTCTCTCTCTCTCTCTCTGTCTCTCTCTCTCTGTCTCTCTCTCTCTCTCTCTCTCTCTCTCTCTCTCTCTCTCTCTCTCTCTCTCTCTCTCTCTGCGCTCCGCTCTCTCTCTCTCTCTCTCTCTCTCTCTCTCTCTCTCTCTCTTTCCCTCTCTCCTCTCCTCCCTGTTGATTCTACCTTTACAACACCTTTGATTATGCTTATTACCATTGTCACTACTTTAGCAAAGACCTTAAATACCCCTTTCCCAAACTATTGAATCATCCCATTACAGGTCTTTCCACTTCTGCTTTCTTTAGAGAGTACATGCCGTAAGGGAAGAGGTCTTAATTTTGTACTCCAGCGTCAAGAAAAGTAGGTCAGATCCCTTTTTCACATGGCTGTTGCCATTGGATTAGCATCATTTTCCTATGAGTCAGAAGGTAGATACAAATCCTGTTTTTGTCTGATGAAAGGGAATGATCAGTGTATGGGGTTTCTAGCACAGGTCCCTTGACATTGAAGCCACTACAGGGATGAAAATTTTCATCATTCTTACACCAAAAATTCAGCTAAAGGGGAAATCAAAAAGGGCCACCACAACATTACCAATTATTAACATCCACCTGAGATCTACTTGCGTTTTCCAACTATGAGGTTAGGTGGATCATTAGTGAAAACACTGAAAACTTCCATTATAAAAGATTATTTGGCTATTGTCTCATACTTAGCATCATAAAAATTTTAATTCTTTGTATTTTTTTTAGCTGAAATTTGGGACTTTGTGACTGCCAAAGAAAAAGATGGCCAAAATCAATACTCAGCACTCCTATCCTACCACACACAGATTCTCAGTCAGGACCATTGATGAAGATACAGAAAGAGTTGAAAATGGCACCAGCAGGTAAGCTACAACATTGTTTTGTGCTTAGAGTGGGGGAAAACGCAGCCATTTTCATGCATAGCTTCTAAAGACTGCAATATTGACTGAGGTAACCCCATAATGTGAAACTGCCTATTAGAGGTTCCAGTCAAATGAATTTCCCAAGTCTACATTTGTCACCATCCTGCTGCCAGGTACCTCTTAGGATGACAACTGGGAGAGACATAAATAGTTGGTGCTTTAGACAGCTTTAGGCTACATACAGAAAAAAAATTCATCATCATTCAATTCTCCTTTTCTTATTTGTCTGGAAGCTGGAATTTCCCAAGCACATGACCTTATACCCACAGTGACATTCAGGAACATCCCACATTTACCTCAAGGATGACACAAAGGGAACAGATTTATAAGTCACAATATAATTGGCCCACCACTTGCATTGCTTCTTCCAGCCTCATCTAGCTTTTCTATCTGTACTCTCAAAGCATAGTCACACCACAACTCTGCTCACTATGACATATAGGCTGCTGTGGTCAATGTTACACCAGCTCCATTTCCTTTGTCTGATTTTCCTAAATACCATGGCTAGCTTGCAAGCCCATGAGGAAGTACTAATGCTCACACTTTCGTGATGGAGAAATATGGTAGGAAGAAATAGAAGAGAAGGATTTTTTTTTAGTTTGTTTTTTGGGTTTTTTTATATATATATATACTGACACTGGAAATTTTGTCTGGTTGCTTGGAATTATGACAATTTGATTCACCTTCTTTGTGAACTTTGGTTTACCATGTTTTCTAACATATTTCTTCCATAGTTTTACTTTATTGCTTGGATTATGCAACATGTTGTCCCCTGACAGGCTTCATGACCCAAATCTGAGAGACTCAAGTGTTGGGGAGAGGGGAGGAGGAATCAGTATTTAGTCCATCTTCTTGCCTCTAGAGCCCTATCCATGGATTCCCTCCACCTCCTCCCCTTTGGGATTTGGGAAGTAGGAGAGGAAGAGGGAGGATAAAAATGGAAAGTTAGGAGAACAGAAGAAAAAGAGGTGAATAGCACTGGAGGGAAAAACCAAACGAGAGCGTGGCATGGCTCCTACCTACTCAGAAGTGGGGGAATGGAACTAGAGCTACCAAGAACAATGATGCTCATTTCAGAGCCACCTCCCTCCCCACTCAAGCACTGTTTACCATAATATAAAAGGGTTCTATAACATGGGGAGTAGAGGATGGGATAAGAGAAGCAACAGCTATGTCCTAGTATATAACAGTTTTGGCACTTACTGGCAGATGTCTTGGGCATAGGAGGTACTCATAGGCTTTGCATAAGCACTATTCCACATACAAGAGCTCAAGATCAGAGCTAGCATTGGGTGGATAAGGCTTTTCCCCAGGGCACTGACAGTGAGTCATGGAGGCTTTATTTCTGGGAGGATAGGTTTTCTAACAATAGAGGCTTCATTTTTCAGATACTTGAGCAGAGAAATGGCATGACCAGATCTGGAAGTGGTGCATAGATTGGCTAAGAGGAGAGAATACAAGTAGAAATACCTGTAAGGTATTTTTTTGTAGGGGAGCTGTAATTAAGGCCTTTATTAAAATAGCAGTAATGGTAATAAGTATGTCAAAGATGCTGTAGAGGTATAATCAATAGGACTTCGTAATTATATGATGAGATGAGAGAGAGATGACAAACGAGAGAATGTCAACTGAGCCATATCTAGATGGAGAAGTTCCTACAGGCAGTTAGAGGTGTGGGTCTGGAATTCAGAAGAGAAGTCAGGATCAGAAAAATAAATTTGAGAATCATCTTCCTAGAGGGAATGGTTGAAGCTATGAGAGTGAATGAGATTTGAGTGGGGAGGGAAGTGGCTCTGAAATCAGCATCATTGTTCTTGGTGGCTCTAGTTCCATTCCCCCACTTCTGAGTAGGTAGGAGTCATGCCACGCTCTCTTTTGGTTTTTCCCTCCAGTGTTATTCACCTCTTTTTCTTCTGTTCTCCTAACTTTCCATTTTTATCCTCCCTCTTCCTCTCCTACTTCCCAAATCCCAAAGGGGAGGAGGTGGAGGGAATCCATGGATAGGGCTCTAGAGGCAATGAGATTCCTAAAAGAGAGTCTATATAAGGAAAGGGGTCACAGATAAATCTTTGAGAAACACCAATATTTAAGGATCAGGAAGAGAATGAGGGGGAAGAGACATAGGGTGACTAATTATAGAGAGAGAAGGGGAGACTTTGATGCTTCGGTTGCTAAGGGGAAACAGCATGTCCATTAGAAAAGGGTGATCAAAGGTGTCAAAAGTGCAGAGAGCAAGATGCGGAATGAGTTTAAAAGGCCAAGGGACTGGCAGAAAGGTTAAACCAGCTCCTAGCTCCACCGGACTATACTAACACTTAGTATTAGCATACCTTTCTTCCCACAGCCAAGGCCATTAGATTTTGTAATTAGAAGGTCATTGGTGACCTTTGAGAGAGCTGTTTCAATATCATTTTGACAGTGCAATCCTAATTACATGGAGTTTGAGAAGGAAGTGGGTAATGTAGAAGTGGAAGCATCAAACATAGACAACTTTTTCAAGACCCTTAGCAGTGAAGGAGAGAAGCATGATGGGACAGTGGATAGACAGTAAAGATCAATGGGGGAAAAAGCTTTTTGTGTTTTAGGATTTTGGAAACCTGAGCATGATTTTAGAAAAATGGGCAGGAGCCAGCCAATGGTAAAGGAGAATAGGGACAGGAACTAGACCTAGAATTTCTGGACCAAGACTGAACCTTGTGAATTCAGCAGAGGGGATTCAGAAGTGAAAAAACTTCCTCTACCAATTCAGGTTGACACTTTGTCTGAGATTTATGGTCTTACAGAGTTGCCTAGGGAACTGAGAACTGTGGGAAAAACTTAAGATTAAAGAGAAATTAAAAAGGAAGAGATTGAAGATATTTGACACACCTGCTAGCATGATTCCTAGAGGAAATGGGAAAGAAGATACAGCATAGAAAGGTTATTTCTACTTGGGAGTAGGGATTCCTCCTCTTCTTTGATAAGAAGGAAGAAAAATATAGGTGATAGCAGTGAGAAATTATGAAAATTAGAAGAGGGGAGTTTGAAAAGCTCAATGGATAGACTCAAACTTCCTAGCTCAGTAGGAAGCTATGTGATCTGGTGTATTTAGAGTGTGTGCACATAGAGGATTGGGCAGGGGTCAGAACTGAGTGAAAGAAGAGAAGGAAAGTTTTGGAATAGTCATTATGAAGAATGAGATAGGGAGTTCATAAAGTGAGAGTAGAAGGGTTGTTGGACAACAGCTAGGGCAGAGGTAAGATTGTATCCCATGAACTTGTTTTAAAAAATCAGGTTGTTATCTAGTAATGCTCGGTAGTTCTGGAGTAGCTGTGAAAGAACTGAAAGATATGGGTCACCTAAAGTTTTAGATTTGCAAGTCATAAATTACAGAAGGTCATGGTCAGAAAAGACTCTAGGGCCATGGTTAGTGAAACATTCAAGTCACCAACCAGGGAGGGGGTCAGGGCTGGGTATAGAAGCAAATGAAGCCATATTATAGGAGACTGATGGATGGAAGGGTGAAACAATGCACCAGAAGTCATGATGTCATCAAAGTACACATGAGCAAGGAAAGGTAAAGGAATAAGAGGTTGTGTAGAGATAAAATTTAAACTATGAAATTCAGAATTGATGAATTTCTATGGAAAGGTAAAATCTAAGCTATGACTACATAAAAGTGGGATTGAATTATTGTAATGAAGGAGGTCACTGGAGTTGAGGAAATTGAGGATTTTTGTGAGAAAGTTGTTAGAAAAGTTACATAAACACGAATAGTGAAGTCCATGATAATAGCAGGGGACACTATAGAGAAGAATTCTGTGAGTCAGGCACTGAAGTTTAAGAAAAAGTAAGAAGAATGATCTGGAGGCCAATAGGTGAAAACAATGAAGATACAGAGAAGGTGCAATCAACTGTTTAGACATTAAGAGGGGATAGGTTATTGACGAATCATGGTAAGAACTGTCTTGAAGTGATGATTGGGAGTAAGAATGGTTATCCTCACTCTAACTCACAGAGCCATGAAGTTGTAAGAAATATGGTGCCCTTGAGGGAGAGTCATGTTTCGGTTCAAGTGAAGATGTAAAAGAAATGTTGAAAAGTTCAAGGATATGGGAGAATTTATTGAGAATAGAAGGAAACTTTCAAAGGTCATAGTGGAATGGGCTAAAACATGGATAAACTGGGATGAAGTTGGCTTTGGGAGGGATAAGGGGCAGTCAGAATAGGGCAGGGGTAGTGTAGATATGTCACCTGCACCTAAGGCAGTGGGATTTGCAATGGGTTACATATGGTAAGTAGAGGTGGCATATTCCATCAATGACTCCTCATAGAATTAATTTGAGTTAAAAACATTCCACACTTGTTTCTAGATTGAGAAAATTCATCTTTTGGGAGATGCAAAGGGATTCCAAACTGATGGCTAGCTTCCATGAGACCCCAGAGAACTTAAGGGGGTCCAGCAACTTGCCAATGGTCATACAGCCAATCCCATCATATCATACTCTAAGTTCAATGCTCTAGATATGAGCCAGCCTTCTAGTGAGATGTCAGGGTAGGAAGCACAGTGAAAATTCAGTAGTGATGAGTGATGACTTGTAAAATACTTGTTTCCCCCTAGATAACCCTCTATAAGTCACATCATATCCTTGTGCATCAGTTTACTCAATTGTGAAACAGATCTGGATCATTCTGAAGCTTCTCCTTTCTTGCCTGAATGGGTGTAAGGGGCAGGTTGCATGTCCAGAGATGTCCTGATTCAGGTTCAGTTTGGATTTGAAGTCAGAGGTTCTGGGTTCAAATTCCAATTCTGCCACTTCTTGTATATATGACCTCATTTCCTCTCTCTGGGTCTCAGTTTTTTCTTCTGTAAAATGAGGAATTTGGATTAGATGACCTCTAAAGTACCTTTCCATTTTAGATCTTTGATCCTATGAGATGTTAAGATTATCATGGGGGCA